GAATCCTGTGACTGTTGAAGATCGATTTAGTTTATGCACTGACAGCAGCCATTTCAACTTCATTTGATCAATTTTGGGGTAAAATATCTGGGGGTTACAAATATGGCCACCTGTATTCACAGATGATGTGTCATGGTGATTCCTTGTGGATGTATGCAAAATCAGCAGGATTGAGGAATATTTGCTTATGCTTTGCTAAAAAAAAAATAAATTTTAATGAATAAGATGAATAAACAACATAGAAACAAACTCAGATACAAAGAACAAATTGATGATGGTTGCCTGATGAGAGGGGATTGGGTAAAAATGTAAAAGGAATTAAGAAGTATAAATTGCCAGTTGTAAAAATAGTCACAGGGATGTAAAATACAGCATAGAAACTATCCTATATAATAAAAGCCTAATATGCTAAGTGTCCGGTCGTCCAACCAATCAAAGCATAATATGCTAATGATATACTAAGGCTGCTCAACCCCTTGCTATGACATGCACTGACCCGGCAGGAGGGCGGAGGTCTCTGACTGGTAGGTTAGCTTTCAGCTGGGGTCCGGATGCTCCTCAAAAATCAGATGGTGAGTTTACCCACAAAATGGGAAGGACCTCCCTGCCGGGCTGTCCAGCGTCCACGGTGTGTGTGTCTGTGTGTGTGTGTGTGTGTGTGTGAATACATGTGTATTTATGTACACAAATGGTTTGGTTGTTTTGGGTGTGTTTTTTTCACAACAAAACAGCCTTTCCCAGCTGTGGGTGAGTGCCCTTGTTTCTGGGGTGCCATCATTCTCAGTCACCCCAAGAAACAGATCGCCTCAAGTCCAATGGAAAATTTCCTGAAGTCCTAGTTTTCGAAACAATCTGATGATTCTGTAATGAATTATACAAAAATATAATATAAACAATTTAAATTGGACAATTTAAAACAGCTACAGCTATATCAGAATCCATAACTATATCTATCCTATATAATAAAAGCGTAATATGCAAATCGACCGAACCGAGGAATGATCAGTTGGCGGGGGGTGGGGCCTGGGAGCAGGCATCATCAGGCCAGCCAAGGCTCATGCCAGTGGGCAGAGGGAGGGAACGGTGATGGGGGGCATGGTGCCCAGCGGCGGTGGAGGGGCAATGGGGGGGGCGGGTACCATCCCCGGATTGGCCTATCCGGTCGTCTCCTGCAGAGGGAGACCAGGCAGCAACAGTGGGGTGATGGGGGCAGTGCCGTCTCCTGATCCCCTGTCCTCACCTCCTGCAGAGGGAGGCCAGACTGCACTTAGGCCCTCTCCTAAGCCGTCAGTAGGACATTCCCTGAGGACTCCTGGACTGTGCTGGCCCCGGGCTGAGGGACCTCCCCCCTCCCCCAGTGCATGAATTTTCACACACCCGGCCTCTAGTAGTCATATAAATGCAATGGTTTCTTTGTAAAACTTGAGAGAAGAGACTTTTTAACTTTGGAAAAAAATTTATCACCACCAGCAACTCCCCCACTTAGATGAGAAAATCAGAGAAATACTGGTGTGTTTTAATTAATTAGCCGAGCAAGGCTTGGTTAAGCTGGTATTTAAAGTGCCTTCCCTGGAGCCGTTCCTGTAGGGAGCACTGAGCCCCCTGTGTGCCTAAGATGCTGGTGGAAACCTAAGCGGCCGGCTAGACCTTGGAGCAGCCTGGCCT